TCTGATGATGATGCAACATATGGTTGAGACTTTGCCTTCCCAAAAGTTAGGAACATCAGAGTTCTGATTCCAGCAGTAACTGTAACGTGGCCCCATACTATATTAAGGTCTGAATGCCATATAAAGTAATGCAAAATATTTCATTTGTGCAAATAAATTGAGTTGTGCTTGCTGTAGAAACCGAACCTTTCAACTTCCTGCCTTTTGTTCCTGTAACATCTCAACTGTAATATTGCATTACCATAATTTTTTTGTGTGCATTTAACACGTCTTTCTTTAGTTCCCTTAGAAACTGTTTATTCCCCCTAGTGGCTATGTGTTAATTTAAATTGTATGTTAATAATGCTACTGAAATTTCTTTTTTCTCTCAATGCTGATCTTATCTGAATTAGAGATTTTCCTTGTAGCATATGTGTTCTGAGTTTTTGGACTGGTATTTAGGTGGCTGTTGGTTTTAGTCTACAAAGGTCCAGCCCTTTTTCTGTAACTTTACTTGATAGAAAAACTATAATGGATGCTATTAAAAACTCAACATTCACTGCCAGTTGTCCGTGGTTACCTTGATATCTTCCTATTATTAGAGCAGGAGAGATACTTCAATCACTGCTGAGTGGGACATTGAGTTTTTAATGGTGTCCATTGTGTACGGGGTGTGAGCAAATCCAAGGGTTTTGATTTAGGCTGGGATATCCTACTATATAGTCGTTGTATGCCTCCTTTGATCTATATTGTGAATTAATTCCAGTTCAAAATGTGTTTTCTATTTTTAAGTCAATCTCGTGTTGAAATCTTAAGATGATCTTTTGGGGACTTATTTTCTTCATTGTGTAGGCATCCCAGGGTGGGCAGGGTTTAGTGTGAAGTTCTTGCCAATATGTCTTCTTAAAGTGTTTTTTTGTTTTTGTTTTTGTTTTTTTTGTTTTTTTTTTTATGGTGCCTGTCACCATGGTATCTAAACTTCCATGACTAGCTTGATGTTTTGGATTGCATTCTGTCCTCCTGTTGATGCCTGGTGTGGTATGGTGTGATGGATAAATACATCTGAAAAACATACGTAATATTACTGGCAAGGATTATGCCGCTTGTAGAAGCAATGTTGCTGAATGAATAATTGGGTTTCCGACTCGGCTGCTGCTGCACCGACCAAGTATTCGCCTTTTAAAAACATGCATCAAGGTGGGATTCCAGTGAAAACTTAAGACTGGGGTAACTTTCTTATACTTATCTGCCATCTATGACACTGTAAGGAGGCACGAAGGCCCTTCTCTTGAAAATGATCCCATGCAATGCAATAATAAAATTCTTCCCCAGAGTTTGGAAAATTGTTTTGCATTTTCCTTGGTGACCAGGTCAGCAGGCCATACATGCTCAACAATGGCCTACCACAGGGATCAGTCCTAGCACCAATCCTGTTAAATACTTACACCAGCGACCTTCCCTGAACATCATCATGGAAATTTATCTATGCTGATGACATTGTTATGACTGCATGGGATTTACTTACCATGAGAATCCTTTGGGAGTTCCATTGTATTCAAGGGACCAAGGATTTTCAATACATGAAGAGCTACATAATATAATATACCAAGAGTCTGACTCAAATTCAGAAAACCTTTTTGGCTTGCAGCGCAAGAGCTTGACAACTCCAGGTTTTCCCCAGAGATCAATGGCAAGCGAAGCGGAAGGATTCATGTCCTGAACAAATTGCTGATCAAGGACGCAACTGAAGAAACCAGTGGCTTTTCTCCCCCATGAAAAATATGGTCCACTTTGAACTGCATCTACACGTCACATGGCAGGTCCACCTACCTCCTCCATAAATTGCGGCTGAGACACAATCCTATTTGCAGCTGTGGAAAGGGACTTAACTATGGAACACCTCGTCAACAGTGTCCCAAACGATCATATCCTGATGGAATCTCTGCCATCCGCTCCACATCACCTGAAGCAATCAATTGGATCGCCAACCTAGACTTGGACATTTAACATTGCTGTCATTAAGCCACACAGAAGAAGAAGGATACTTACACGGCCCCTGTAGTACCTGGATACGTCACAGTTATAATGCATTGTGGGGAAGTACTGTTATCCCCGTATTACAGATGGGGAACGAAATATTTGAGAAACAAAGCATTTGTCTACACGGTACCTTAATGTGTCCCTGCAGGGGTGTAAATTCTAATGTGCATCAGCATCTCACTCACTAACTAGTCCACGTGGACCCTGCTGGCACGCACTAGAAAGTTCCTTAGTGTGCGTTAATGTAGTCCTGTTTTGAAACAGGACTATATTAATGTACACCAGGGAACTTTTAATATACAACAGCAGCATCCACACAAGCCAGTTTAATGCACGCCAGCATGTGTGCACTGAATTTACCCCCCACCCCCACCCCACTGGCACAGATGAAAGGACTGTGTAGACAAGCCCTGAATGACTTACCCAAAGTTACACAGGAGATTTTTGGTGGAGCCGGGGTCTCCTGAGTCCCTGGCTACCACTCTAAACACTAGACCATCATCCCTGTGTGGGTTATCCTCACCTCGTCTTTTATCCACCCAGTCTGAATAATGAATAATAAGTTGCTTCCTCCCCCCCCCTTTCCCTTGTAGTGACTGAGCTTGCAGGGTGTGTACTTATTAAGTATGGCATATGCTGGGTTTTTTTTAACCAGTTCATGTTGTTGCTTATCGTGTTTGTATAATAGTTTGGGGTTGATGTAATCAGTGTTGCATTTAATTTCGTAAAGATTTTGATGTTTGTTCAGTGTTTGCATAATTCATTAAATCGAGTGCTAAGGGGATGTGAATGCACATGTGTGCATACAGTATGTCTCCTTTCTATTGATGCTTTGTCAGGATGGTGCACTGTACTTAGCGCACGTCTATGGAGTACATATTGGAACAAATACAAGCTGAACCATTTGTTTTCTTTCTACTGCACCAGCCTTAAGAAAGTAAAGAAAAACACGCACTTCTACTAGGGTACTAGTAGAGTTTATTTTTTCATTCAGCCATTAGTTTATTCTTTCATGGGTTCAACGCTGGAAAAAAGTGCATCCATTAGACAGTGAGGGCTTTATTTATGGGGGGAGTGGTGTTTCAAAGGGGAGGCTGTTGAGTCCCCAAAGAGCCTTTCACGGTGTATTCTCAGCATGCTTCTGAGGCCAGCGCTCTGCTCATCAGGAGGAGAGGCAGAAATGTGGGCTTTACAGAGCAGCTGTGTGTTTCACTGGTCCCTGTGCTCGCTGACGTTTATTTACATATTGGGAGAGTAAATGGGTAGAACAGATGGCAACCAGACATTTGGTGGTTCTGTTCCCCTGTGCTCCTCAGGGGTCTTGCATTCAGTCTTTGCAAAAGCTCGTCCTAAAGTGAGAGGGGGGAAAAACCCAGGGGCCTGTTCACAATTACGAAAGGCTTGTTGGCAGTTTACTACAATGACAGATTAAAGCACTTAGTAAAATGTTAAATAATTATGAGATTTGTTTTACAAGTCAAGATAGTTGTTCCTTACGATATGTCTGGTCTGTCTCTTTATTCACCGTCGGAGTGAATGCATTTAGATTTAAACAGCGATCCTTTCCCTCTACAAAATCAGGTAGAAGAAGAAAAGTTGGTCTGTTTTTAAACGCCCTTGACAAATCTTTGCCCTTCTTTGAAAGTATTGCGACTAAATTCATGCTCTTGCAGAAAACCAAATATCTGGAAGTTTTACAGCTTAAAAAGGCTGAATGTTACATACTCTGAAAGACATTCATTGCATGTCTCACTCTTTGCAGTCATAAAGCTGCAGGCTGAAATCTTCTTCGCCAGATTTTTCTCCCAGTATTTGTACGTATTGGTTTGCTGATATAGAGTTGCTCTTGAGTGGTGGGCAGCTGGCATTGGATTCTTTGGTTTGTTTTTCAGATGAGATAATCATAGCATTTCTCCTAGGCAAAACCTCCATATAAAATATGGATTTTGATAAGCAGCATTATATTCAGACGGAGAGAGGTAGGTCACAATTTTTGGACCCGTCAGACTTCCAACCTGGATGTATTCCCTTCAAACTAAGTGGCCATAATCTTCATCATAATAAATTATTAGTGCAGATATACTACACTAAAAATGATAGGCATGGCCCTGCAAGGTACCAGACATCTCCCATGTGCAGCATGCTAACGCGGTAGCTGTGTCGCAGTCTGTAGCATGATGAATTCCCCAAAGTTACGGGTAAACACCTGAAAATCTCCAAAGGCTTTTGGGGAAAGACCCTGCAGGCCCTTCAGTATATCAAACCTCAAAGTTTTATTCCTAGTTATGACTTTCCCATCTCCTAATATTATCGGGTAAAGGGCTATCTTGCAATCCCTTCCAAACTAAAAAGTGCACACTCAGGTTTTCTCTTTGAATTGATGTGGTGTTCACAGTTCAAGTAGAAATAATGAATAAAGGAATTCAACTCTTATCACCGTGACGTATCCTATGGTAGGAGCTTCACAAAAAACATCCGTGTCTCTGTGCCATAGAGCTTGCATAGTAAATGATGGACTGATGAAAAAATGAAAATAACAAACACCAGGGAGGGAAGAAGAACTGTGTCCCTGAAACATAATGTTGTGGTTACGCCATTTAGGAGCAAAATGATTGATTAAAATTAAAAGATAAAGTCCAAACTCACTAATTTTGCTGTTGGCAAAGCTCTAGAAATGGTGTGTCAGGAGCAATTTAAATGAGGCGAGAATAGCTGTCTGACTGACTAGTTGTTTTTGGAAAAGTAGTTTTCTGCCACTCATAGGAAATTGAAAGCTGATCCTAAACAAGAGAGCGTCTGGTCTGACATGCGTATTTGTAATTGGCAATAGCAGGGAATTGGTCGTATTTCACTTCAGACGTGGCTGTACTTTAGTGGTGAGTGAAGTGGTTCCCTTGTATAGTTTGCAAAGCACTTTGGGATCCTTTGAGATCAAAGTTAAATGTAATAGGAGTTTGCTTATTAAAATTTGCTGCAGGACGATGTTGGCTTTTAGAGGGCATGCTTATAAAGTGAGCAAACTGGGGTGTGATGTTTGAGTAAATCAGGTGCCAGATTTGTCCAGCATTTGATTTTCCAATAAGTGACTTCATTTAAATACATTTTTCAATTGTTTAAGCAAGATGGGAAGTCAGCTACAAAGATTACTCCAGAAAGGTCATTATTATTAATTAACTTAAAATAGCCATGGCAAGTGTTGCAGAACTCAATGGCAGCACTGAAGGCTGTGAACTCATCTGTGTGTCCATGATCCTGCTCCTTGGGTTGCAAGGAGAGGATGACAAATTGGATCCATTCTTGGATGTGCGCTGGCAGTGGTAACAAATTCAGTAACCTTACCGCTAGATATCCTCTTCGTGCCAGTAAAAACATACACCCGGAACTCTGTCTGGTGGCTTAATGTGGATCTCAAATGAGAAAGCCATGAAACATTACAGACTGTTTGTTGCTAAGGTATCCCAAGTTGACAAGTATGTGGTATGTTCTGTCTTTGAAATGTTTATTTTTTTCTTCTCTGTTTTGGCAGACTGATGTCTTGGTACTGAGCTGTGATCTGATCACAGATGTTGCTTTACATGAGGTGGTGGATCTGTTTCGAGCCCATGATGCCACACTCTCCATATTGATGAAAAAAGCTCATGAACCCACAGAAATAGTACCAGGACAGAAAGGGAAAAAAAAGCCAGGTAAGTAGACTAACAGTGTTCTTCCTGACTCAGTGTGCCTGAGCAAACTAAAAATCCAGCTCAGGGGGGTCCTGGCTCTGAGGCACTAAAGTCATACAAAAGAATAACAATAATATTACACCATTGTATAATGGAAGGGCCAAGCCAACAAGTGGCCTTAATGTGTGCCCCAGGATGGAGGGACTTTAAAAGAAGACAGCTGAAACTATTTTGTTCGGCTACTGCTTTAGACTAAAGGATTTAAGGACAGGGAATAGGACTGAAATGAAAGCTTGGATCATCCCTCCCCTGAAGGCCTCTGAAAGAAACACTGCTTTGTAAAGCGAGGGTAGATAAGTGACCACAAAACGCCACCTTAGAAGGGCGTTATTACAGTTTCTCAGTCAAGCACTCGGAAGTTAAGAAATGGTGCTAAATAAACCTGCGGCTGCACATTGAGCAATGAGGGTGGAACAAAATCTGAAATAGCTCATTAAGTGAGCACCATACAACCTGGACACTGAGAGAGGCAAGGGTCCTGTGGGAAAAATAGTATAATAGTATGTGATCATGTAATTAAAGGCTGTCTCCTAAGACATACGGACAGGGGGACATGCTGTTTTTGCCCCATTGGTCAAAAAAGACTGGGCAAAGAGAATCATAGAATATCAGGGTTGGAAGGGACCTCAGGAGGTCATCTAGTCCAACCCCCTGCAAAGAGCCAGAGAAGGGGAGCCTAGAAGTGTGGTGAGACGCCTGAGGAGACAGGGACTGACTAGGTGAGGAGAATGGGACTGGGACATGGAGTGAGGGATGGGGCAGAGACACGTTGGAGGGGATGAGGCAGGAAGGGGTCAAGCTTGAGAGGAATGGGCAGAAGGGTCTGTGCCCACTAGAGCACACTCCCCTCCAGAGCCTGGAAAAGAACCCAAGATCCCTGAGTCTCACCATTCCTCGGCTGACAGCAAATCTCTGTGAAAACCGCTGGCAAAGTGTGTGTCTAATCGCCCTCCAGTGCTGGTCCACTTAGAGGATGACAGCCTACTGTTGCTATCAGTTTTACTCCATTAGCTCATGTGGTGGAGGTCTGTTCCAGGGCCGTCCCTAGGCATTTTGGTGCCCTATGCAGGGGGGCGTCCCCAGGCCTCTGTGGGGTGGGGTGCGGGGGGGGGCTGGCCCCAGGCCTCCGCAGGGAGGGCAGGTATGGGGGGCAGGTGGGAAACTTCCCCCCAGCACTCACTAGCGGAGTAGGCTGTAGCCGGGTCACTCCACTTCCTGCTGCCCGGTGAGTGCAAGACAGGCCCGACCCCGCACTCACCGGGCGGCAGGAAGTGGAGTGACCAGCCCCAGCCTGCTCTGCTCCCCTGGCTCCCAGCCTCGGGACTTGGAGAGCAGGGGGGAACTGCCCCCCAGCACTCACCGGTGGTGTGGCTGGAAGCCAGCGGTGCAGAGCGGGCTGGGGCCGGGTTGCTCCACTTACCGCTGCCCAGTGAGTGCAGGGCAAGCCCGACCCCTGCTGCAGTCCTCAGGGGAAGGGGTGGGGTGGAGCAGGGGCAGGAAGAGGCGGGGCGGAGCAGGGGCGGGGGCAGCTTTCCTGTTCCGCTCAGCCGGCCGGGGAATCGGGCTGAACGCTGGAGCAGCACACAGCTGCGTAGAGTACCAGGCAATTTAGTGCCCCAAATTTCCTGGTGCCCTATGCAGCTGCATACTTTGCATATGGGTAGGATCAGCCCTGGTCTGTTCAGTAAATCTAAAGGTTGGAACCCTGCTGATGAGCCATGTGGATGTCAGCACGATGCCACATGATGGAATCTGTTTTTTTACAATTTGCTCTTTTTTTAAAAACCCTGGAAAATTATTACAAAAAACTCTGTTACTTGTATGCTATTTAGGTTGCAAAGTCAAGCACTCAAAGCTTAGGGAATGCCACAGTTACAGTTGCCTGTGGACCCTGAGTCCTGGGAAGCTCTGTTAAACTAACAATAAATGTTGGCATCAGTTCATAAATTTGCAGAAGTCAGAGATTGGAGAGATCTACCAGATTGCCTCAGGCTGATAGAAAATGGCCCACCAGGAATAACTATCATTTCATTGCTTTCTAGATGTTTAATATCTCTTCTGTAGAGAACAGTTTTGAAATAAACTGTGTAGCTGTAATCAGGATGAATTTGCCACTGTAGTCAGCTTTAAACAGAGGTGTTAGTTATAGAGGCTAAAACACTGACCTCCTTTAATAATTCTTGTGCACCTTGATGTCTTTTTAAAATGTATGCTATAGTTCAACCACAAGTTATGGGGTCACTGCAGCAAGTGCTGGGTGAAGTTCTTTGGCTTCTTATGTAGGAGGTCAGGCTAGTGATCATAACGGTCCCTTCTGGCCTTAACATCTGTAGAACATAGTCATAAGAAGCAATGCAAACATAGTAAGACCCTGGGGAGTGATCGTAACCCAGATAGGCAGAGACTGTATGAAGAATGAACCCCAATATTAGGGTGCTGAGCCAGTATATTCTTATCTCTGGGCATTGAGGCAAAGACCAAGGCGTACATGCCAAATGTGCCTGCCATGATTTTTTTGAGACTGTCAGTATGAGAAGTTCAAACATCCAGGCTAGACCCAACATATGTGCCTTAAACTTGTCCAGGCCTCTGCCTCAGGCCTTGGCTACACTGGCGCTGTACAGCGCTGCAACTTGCTGCGCTTAGGGGTGTGAAAACACCCCCCCCCGAGCGCAGCGAGTGCAGCGCTGTAAAGCACCAGTGTGATCAGAGCCTGCAGCGCTGCACGCTCGCTCGCAGCGCTGCAAGCTACTCCCCTGTGAATTCCCGAGTGTAGCCAAGGCCTGAGTCCTGTCTCTTCCTATCCCTGGCTCTATGTCCCAGACCCATTGTCCTCCCCCAGACAGTCCCATATGTATAAAGAAAGTCTGAAAGGATTGTGAGGGTGTGGTTCTTTCCTGCTTGTTTTTCTTACCTTAAAGATCTTAGGAATGTCACTGACGATCATTGGTATGGTTGTGGAACGACCTCATGATGGATGTGTCATGTGAGTTCTCTCACCTGAATTGAAAAGGGGCGGGAGTTCTGAATTTTTAAAGACATTTTCCCCATATGTCAGTTAGGCCTTGGAGTTAAATAGGTTTGTTTAAAAACAAAGATTTAGAAATTTGGCTAACAATTCCTCCCCTGAATTGCTCAGCCTCACTCTCTTGTGATGTCATCATTTCTCCACTCTTCGAAGTCCCCAAGGTAGACAGAGCCTGGATTTCTAACTAAGGCTGTGTCTATACTGCCACTTTCAGCGCTAAAACTTTTGTCGTTCAGGGGTGTGAAAAAACACCCCCCCCCCCCCCCCGAGGACAAAAGTTTTAGCGCTGAAAAGCGCCAGTATAGACAGTGCTTTATCGTTGGGAGCTGCCCTGTTGACGATAAAGCTACCACCGCTCATTCGGCTTTGTTTGTTTTTTATCGCCGGGAGAGCTCTCCCCCAGCGATACAGCGTGACTACACTGCCCACGTCACACCGCGGCCATGCTGTAACGTGGGTAGTGTAGACATACCCCAAGTAGAACTATTTTTTATCGGGACAAAAATCTTTCAAGCCATCTTTATCCAACATCAAAATACAGACCAGAGTACAAGTCCATTTTTTTCCCCTTTGTGGGTCATCTTTAAGTTACCATTCATGCACATTCTCCCTTTTCCCCTTCCTTTTCCTCAGGGAGTAATTAAACTAGTTATCTGCCTGCTTCTAGCCTGTTAATGTCAGTGCATTTCAGAACTGTCCTTTTTCACTACAGGGTTTGGTGATGCATTTTGCCTGGTCTGCGGCACAAAAACAACCATATCTCTTGCCTGTGCATGGAAGAGCACATTTTTATCTAGGTTTCTCCTAGGGGTAAAACAGTTCACTAACATTTACTATGCCTTTTTTTTCTATCCACACAGGGAAGAGAAAAACTTGTTTGGCCACAACCATGTTGCACAATCCAGTTTTAATCATGGTTCTATTTTTTATTGTAGACAGGCTCTTTGCTGTACAGACATAAAGATCCAGTAGACTAGACAGTGGCTTAGGACCTGACTTTAATTTAAGAAGCATGATGCCCTTATCGAGAAACCTGTCGCTATTCTGTATGTAGGCGCAGACAAGGATTTCAAAGGGTTAGGTGCAGCAGGCATTTGGTTATCTCTGCTTAGAATTAGGACCATGGCTTGTAGTTTGATTTACTGCCTAGAATGAATAGAGCCACTGCGCTCAAGAATTTTGTGAGTTGGTTGCTTGATCCTAATTGTGCTTAATTTTTCACATTGTTATGTGTTCAGGGCCTATTTTTGTGCTCCTTAGCTATATACTTAATTGGAGAGGGGAAACGTCTGAAGGGAGCTAGCTAGCTTGACCACTTGGATCAAAGGCTGCCAGTGGGAAGCTTTCAACAGCTACGGAGTTTTGACCTTATTTTGGTGGTGGCTGTTACTATGGCAGCTATTAAGATGCAAATAGAAAGAAAGCGAAGGAGGAAAAGTGGAGTTAAAATGCAATTTGGCTAGAAAAAAAGAAGACTGTGAGGAAATGATTTCTCCCAAGGCATTCATTTCTCACACAAGGTTGGTGTGAGTTTTAGGAATTGGGGAGGGTAAGCATATGCCAGCATTTGACCAAAAATACCGTCTCTGGGAAGAAAAAGAAAAGTTTGCGTCAGAATTGTGCCATTGAGATACCCTGAAGCTGAAAGCACAGGAATAAGGGAACAGCTTGTGGATACCACCAAAGTTGTGTTGCATTCCATATTCATCGCAAAGTGAAATCACCTTCCAACTGGCTTTCCCCCAGCTCTCCTGAGCTCTTTACTCTAGAGCTGGTTTGACCCATCTCCATAGAGGTTTGTGAGAATGAAGTTTTGCAGTCACTGTTTGCAGTGCTTGGGACAGACTGTTCAAAAAGAAAGTACTCAGACCATTAGGCCAAACTCACTCCTAGTGTATTGCCATTGATTACAGTAGCATTACTCTAGAGAGAAATTGACATAATAGACATGTGAACATTAGGTATCCCTTTGGGTGGGTGCCCTTTTTAAACCAATACGTGTCCTGGGGCATCCAAGTATTAGGAGTCTGGAGCTGTGTGTGCGTGTAGCCTACATGTTTGTTACTAACAAAACATGTATGAAAACAGGATACTAGTTGCGAAGTCTTGTCTGAAATCCATAATCCTCTCCTCACCAGCTAATTGCGATACGAGACAAGGAGAGTGATTTATGGTGAAGGAGTAGGAGCTGGCTCGGAGGAGCTATTAATTATCATGGATTCTTTGTAGTGCAAATTGAAGTAGTTGTAAAGCAAGAGGGAAGAGAAGTACGCATTAGCTCAATCAAGATGGAGTATTGCATGCTGGGACCTGCTGTCTCCACAGTTGGCATCTTCATATTAAATATATGGGTGGTTTCAGGGGCCATGTTTTAGAACCTCTTGAGCCGCATTTTGGCTACCCTGGTTGAAAGGATGAAATAAATGTATGTTGTAGAGCATTAATGCAGGTTCTTAGGCTTGGTGGGTTAATCTCTGCTTATGTTTGTGTTTTGAAGTCCAGGGCAATTTGACCAATCCTCCTTGTTGTCCTAGATTCCATTAAGATAAGACTGTAAAATGGTTGTGTTTGATTTTCTACTTCAGTGGAGCAGCGTGACTTCATTGGAGTGGATGACACAGGAAAGCGGTTGCTCTTCATGGCTAATGAAGCTGACTTGGATGAAGAACTTGTCATTAAGAGATCCCTCCTTCAGAAGTAAGCCCTCTGGGGTCCTTTTAATGGAAATTTAGCTTGGAGTGGGGAAAAATATTGGGGTGGGGTTGATGGAGAAAGATGAACTGGGTTAAGGAGAGGAGGGGGAAAGGATTTTCCTGATGCATGATACGTGGCTCCCACAAACGGCAATGAAAGCACAGGGTTATTTTTCAGTGAGAAGTATTTTGCACCTACAACTGGTCGGTGTCCTTGTTCGGCAAGAGCAGAAGGATTATCATGAAAAAGAGCAGGGAAGGAGAAAGGGATGAGTGAAAGGGCCATGTGTTTTTTAAGAAAAGCCAGGGGGGCTAAATTCAGATGTTGTTCAAATTCAGTAGTTTATATTTGTGATAGATCCGTTGATGTAAATGAAAAATTTGTCTCCTTGATATCCAAGGCGGCCACAGAATTGTTACAACTGGTTCCCGATTGGCGTGCTTGCTGTTAGAACTGTGTTCTGTGACTGTGATTATTAGCGAACCAACACTTGTCGTTCTCTGTGGGGCTAGTAAAGAATATTGCAGCTATTGTTATTGGAGGCTTTTCTAGGTGTGTGTTGTCATTGCATTTACAGGGGGCTATGGTATGACAGCTTAGCAGTTGCTGCAACATATGTGATTTTAGTTGACCTATGATTGATTTTACAGATTTTTCTCGCCAGTGGATATTCACTCCTGTTACCTCACTTAATTTAGCTTCTAGCATGAGAATTACTCAGTGTCCATCCTGCAGACCTCAGGGATACCCACTCAACTCCATTGCCTTCAGTAGATTTTCACAAGTGCAACTGATTGGAACTTAATAAGTAGTAGTATTGATGATGTACAAGCTGGGATGGCCTTTGCAGTTCTCTCCCTCTTGCCTGTGTTAGTTGTGCAGGCAGAAAAAAGCAGTAAAACCTTACTTTTGTCATTCAGGTCAGCACATGGGATTCTGCAAGTGTGCAGAGAGAAGATCTGCTAAGAGAAGACCATTTGTACATCATATTTTGGAGAAAACCCTATTTTAAGCTTCACAACACTCCCCTTAGGGTAGGTGAGAGTAAATGTGGCGTTTGCTTCTTGGAAGGATCTGGAAATTACAGTGGACGAGAAGCTGGCTATGAGTCAGCAGTGTACCCTTATTGCCAAGAAGGCTAACGGCATATTGGGTGGCATTAGTAGGAGCATTGCCAGCAGATCGAGGGATGTGATTATTCCCCTCTATTCGGCACTGGTGAGGCCACATCTGGAGTACTGTGTCCAGTTTTGGGCCCCCCACTACAAAAAGGATGTGGAGAAATTGGAGAGAGTCCAGCGGAGGGCAGTGAAAATGATTAGGGGGCTGGGGCACGTGACTTATGAGGAGAGGCTGAGGGAACTGGGCTTATTTAGTCTGCAAAAGAGAAGAGTGAGGGGGGATTTGATAGCAGCCTTCAACTACCTGAAGGGGGGTCCAAAGAGGATGGAGCTAAGCTGTTCTTGGTGGTGGCAGATGACAGAACAAGGAGCAGTGGTCTCAAGTTGCAGTGGGGGAGGTCTAGGTTGGATATTAGGAAACACTTTTTCACTAGGAGGGTGGTGAAGCACTGGAATGGTTATCTAGGGAGGTGGTGGAATCTCCATCCTTAGAAGTTTTTAAGGCCCGGCTTGACAAAGCCCTGGCTGGGATCATTTAGTTGGTGTTGGTCCTGCTTTGAGCAGGGAGTTGGACTAGATGACCTCCTGAGGTCCCTTCCAACCCTAATCTTCCGTGATTCTTTGAAAAGGGTGTGTGCCCAATCTTACTTCCCATTGTAGGTCACCATCCTTCAGGGTATGTCTACACTACGAGGGTAATTCGATTTTACTTAAATCGAATATGTGGAATCGATATTGCAAAGTCGAACGTGTGTGTCCACACTAAGGACACACTAAGGACAGTAATTCGACTTTGTGAGTCCACACTAAGGGGGCGAGCGTCGATATTGGAAGCGGTGCACTGTGGGCAGCTATCCCACAGTTCCCGCAGTCCCCGCTGCCCATCGGAATTCTGGGTCGAGCCGCCAATGCCTTCTGGGTAAAAAAAATTTGTCGTCATCCGTCCGTCACTAACGCCCTCCCTCCCTCCATGAAAGCGCCGGCGGGAAATCAGTTCGCGCACTTTTCTGGTCAGTGACAGCGCGGACGCCACAGCACTGCGATCATGGATCACGCTGCGACCATCGCTGCACTTGTGGCCGTTCTCAACACCTCGCAGCTTATCATACACCTTTCCCTGAGGCAGATGCAGAGAAATCGGGCGAGGAGGCTACGGCACCGCCGTGAGAGCCTGAAGTCGGAGAGTGGCACAGAGCTGTCAGAAACCACGAGCCCCAGCGCCCAGGACATGACGTTGGCAATGGGGCATGTGGATTTTGTTGAACGGCGATTCTGGGCCCGGGAAACAAGCACGGACTGGTGGGACCGTATAGTGCTTCAGGTCTGGGATGAATCCCAGTGGCTGCGAAACTTTCGCATGCGGAAGGGGACTTTCCTCGAACTTTGTGAGTTGCTGTCCCCTGCCCTGAAGCGCAAGGACACCCGCATGCGAGCAGCCCTCACTGTCCAGAAGCGAGTGGCCATAGCCCTCTGGAAGCTTGCAACGCCGGACAGCTACCGGTCAGTCGCGAACCACTTTGGTGTGGGCAAATCTACCGTGGGGGTTGTTGTCATGCAAGTAGCCAAGGCAATCGTGAAGGTACTGCTCCCAAAGGTAGTGACCCTGGGAAACGCGCAGGTCATCATAGATGGCTTTGCCGCGATGGGATTTCCAAACTGCGGAGGGGCTATCGATGGGACTCACATCCCTATCCTGGGACCGGACCACCAGGCCAGCCAGTACATCAATAGAAAGGGCTACTTTTCAATGGTGCTGCAAGCACTGGTGGACCATCGGGGACGGTTTACAAACATCTACGTCGGATGGCCGGGCAAGGTTCATGACGCTCGTGTGTTCAGGAACTCTGGTCTGTTTAGACGGCTGCAGGAAGGTATTTACTTCCCAGACCACAAAATAACTCTTGGGGATGTGGAGATGCCTACAGTCATCCTCGGGGACCCAGCCTACCCGCTAATGCCCTGGCTCATGAAGCCCTATACTGGCGCCCTGGACACAGAAAAAGAACTGTTCAACTACCGTCTCAGCAAGTGCAGAATGGTGGTGGAGTGTGCTTTTGGCCGTCTCAAAGGGAGATGGAGAAGCTTACTCACTCGCTGTGATCTCAGTGAAACCAATATCCCCATCGTTATTGCAGCTTGCTGTATGCTCCACAATCTATGTGAGAGCAAGGGGGAGACCTTTATGGCGGGGTGGGAGCTAGAGGCAAATAGCCTGGCTGCTGATTACGTCCAGCCAGACAGCCGGGCCATTAGAAGATCCCAGCGGGACGCCCTGTGCATCCGGGAGGCTTTGAAAGCTAGGTTCCTGAGTGAGCAGGGCAACTAGTGACTTTTCAGTTTGTGGACAGAGAAGCTGAACCTGCCCCCGTTTCTTTACCCAGTTCATTTTGACTATCCTCTCCAGTTACATACCCCCTTCACCCCCTTCCCCTTCCCAAAAAATAAAATCATTTCGATTTTGTTAATGAACAGCGTTGTCTGTATTGCTGTTTTCGCGGGAATATTTTAAACCGGGGACGCAGACTGTGGCGGGGGGCGGGTTCAGTGTTCTGATGCAAATGATGCTTCTAAACTCCCGGAATGACAGGCTCCGCACTGGTGGACTGGTTATTTCAATGGAGAACATGAAAAACACCTCCCAGACTGACCAGGGTAACCAGTGACTGCACTGTGTATGTGTCCTGATGCTGGACCTGACACCGCCTCTGTACCCTGCTAAAGGTCACTGTCCTGCCCAATTACCAAGCCCCTTCCCCCCCTCCAGACAGACTCTCCCTCAAAAGAACCTGACTGAAACAGTAATGGAGAGAAACAAACATTTTATTGCGAACCAGACATGAAACGTGGGGTGTGAAACTTGGACGGGGGCTTCTGTGAGGTGGGTGGGAAAGGACTTATGAAATTTTGGGGAATGTCAGCCTTCTAGTGCTAGAGCAGTCTGCAGGGGTTGACTGAAAGTTTTAACGGCCCTTGCCGCCCCTCCTTCTTTGGAGTTTGGGTGAGGGTGGTGTGGGACTTGGTGGCGGGTGAGGGCGGTTACAGATAGACTGCAGCGGGGCTCTGTCCTCCTGCCTCCGGTCTTGCAGAACATCCACAAGGCGCCGGAGCGTGTCCGTTTGCTCCCTCATTAGTCCAAGCAGCTTTTCAGTAGCCTGTTGGTCCTCCTGACGCCACCTCTCCTCCCGTTCCATGACTGCTCGGTGCATTTGTGACAAGTTCTCCCTCCACTGTGTCTGCTGGGCTGCCTGGGCTCGGGAGCAGTCCATTAGTTCTGAGAACATGTCTTCACGCGTCTTCTTCTTCCTCCGCCTAATCTGCGCTAGCCTCTGGGAGTGTGCTGAGAGGCTGGGTTGGGAGACAGTCGCAGATGTGTCTGTGTGAATTGTGAAAAGGGAGTGAATTCCTGAGACAGATAAATGAAATTGTATACAAAGAACCTAGTCTTTCTCTGTGAACAAGACCATGCACTGCACCTCTCACATGCGCACTCAGGACAAGGTCGAATTTTCGGCCGTCGCCTTCAGTGCCTGTGGACTTGCGGAGGTCTTGGACTGTTCAGAGAACTGTGGCTGGAGACCTGAACTTCTGGAGCGGGCAATAATGGTAAGCCGCAGACTTGTGGCTGCTTAAAACTCCAGCAGTAGCACTGGCCTCCTTTCACATTGAAAGCAATGCCAGTCTCTGCTGCCAGCAATCAGGACAGCATCAACTCTGCCCCTGTCCCACCCCCTCGCGGCTGTCCCAGGGAAAGATCCCTGTATGCTGCCCCTCTCCCTCCACCGCGTGGCTGTAAAGCAGTCCCAATACTAACATTCCCCTCCCTAATTCAAAGCAGGGCGTCATGAGCGACATCACCCTCCTGAGGATCCCGGACACCCAGAG